CCGGAGTGGCCCAGAGAGCCACGCTGTCCTGCATGAACGAGAAGACTGCCCGAATCCACTGGTCGTCGCGCGCACTGATCGCGTTGCCCATGGCATCGACGTGGTTGAGCGTTGATCCTTGGGACATGGCCCAGGGAGTGAACGCAGCCAGGAAGTGTCGTGCTTTGCCCCCCTGTTCGCCTTTGAAGGGAGAGGGCTTCTGAACCGCCTTCAGGCTGTTGGCCCCAGTGGTCGAGTTGGCGAGCTGCGCCATGGACTGAGTGAGGAGGGTCATCGACTGGAGTAATACCGTCATGGGGTCCGGGGGTTGCATTGCCGTCTGGGTGCCCGGTTGGGCCTGCTGGGGGTTGTTGGCGGGGCCTGTCGTCTGCGGTTGTCCGCCTTGTTGTCCCATGATGGGTGGAGCGGACGGTGGGCGGGTTGGGGGGATGATAGGGGATGGGGGAAGCGCGATGAGTAGCGCTACTTCAAGCTCGTCAGTCGGAGTACCGGGGATGGGGGATCGAGTCGTGGGTGACTCAGCAACGGGGGAGTCGGGAACTGGGATGAACTCGTCCTCAAAGGCCCTTGAGTTGATCCGATCTGGACGGTGATGGCGATTTGGGCAGGGGTTTAGCTCACACGGTTCCCAGTACCAGAGTCCGTCTGCTGGATCCTTTCGTTGGTGGCAATGAGTTTCGTCGACGGTGTCCCACGCGTGAAATCTGCCGGTGCAGTCCAGGGTGGGGGAGACAACGGAACGGCAGTGGGAACACTCTTGTTCAGAGCGTCAGCACCGGGGGAGAGATCTCGACCTAATGTCACGGCGACTAGGTGCGTAGACTCGGGTCGACGTTCGGCGACGACCTCGTAGGCGAGCGGCAGGGAGCCGAAAAGGAAAGAGAAAGATAGAGGGATAAACGTAGCAGAAAACTCGACGGGGCAGAGCGGCGGTCGGCACGAAGGCACGAGACCGATGAGAGCTAGTCTTCACGCCACCAGCGACAGACTAGTCCCAATGACCAAGTTATACATTAGCACTCGAAGGGAAATACAACGCTATGGCCACTCACCTAGTCCCAATGACCAAGAGGTCGAGATGGGGACTAGGGAGCGCCTAAGGGGGTCCTTATATACTAGAGGGGCTGCTTAGCAACCAAAGACAAGGCGCGAGAGCAAGGCAGTGAAGATGACAAAGAGAGGACAAAGGGCGAGAAAGAAAAGGCAAGGGCATGACGATCACAGGAACATAGCATGCGGCTGTGGGAACATATCTACAGTGTCCAAACTAGGATGGGCTAGGAAAGGAAATGGTCCGAAAATGGAAGGTGGGCGTCAAAGGGGAGGGAATGGGCGGTAAAAAGGGGCGCCTGTCCAACGTCCGTAACAACGCAGTGCCTCTTACACATGCTAGCCCTCTTTCTATCCAGCCCTCCTTCCACTGATTTGTGCAATCATCAATGCTTGACTCATCTAACCACACCATGTACTGCATTGGAATATCTCTGTAGGCACCTTGCCAAGTTGCATGCAGGAGCTCATTGCGCTCAAGAGCCTCCTGGGCTACCTGTTTGTGGGTGATATTAAGTTGTCGGAGAGTTTGTGACAGCCTTGCTAGGGAGACCAAGACATCCCAAGCTGCAAAGAGCTGCTCCTCCATCTCATCAAGGTAGAGTGCTGGGTTGGCTTTTATGGTGCAGTTCACTTAGTCACCACCAATGTTGTACACTTCTCACTTGGCCTCAAGCCCCAGGCTTTTGGGTGGCCTCTATATCGGGCTGTATATGGCCTTGAACATGTCTCTAATATCATAAATGATAAGTCAAGCTAGGAGAAGTAAGAGATAGCTCACCAACCTTGGTAGTGTCGCCTTCAGGCGGACGTGGTACAGATGTTGAAGTGGCCGATCCGATGAGCGCTTAACCTGCTCAGTTCAGAACCGCCGCCGCCTCACTGATTTCCTACCGTCTCTTCGCCAATTATGGCCACCATCGTCATCTGTAAAAACCACCTTTGCAAATTACACCTATTTAGTACAAATTAGCTCTTAATAGACACAGTAGTTGAATAGTGAAAAATAGTGCAAAATCGAGAGGTCCCCAAAAATAATTGCACTATTTTGCACTATTAATGCAAATTAGTGCAAAGTAGCACTATAGTAGACGGAAATAGTGCTACAGTAGATGTTGATAGTAGTGGATAGAGTGGGTCTATGATTTCTGACTGGTGTAGAGATGCTTTATATGACCTCAAAGCCATCTGTTTATAAGTCCCAGATGCATTTAAAGCGCTAGAAAATATATGAAAAAAATGTCCTCAGCCAGTCTTGAACCCTCAACCTCACCTTCATATGACACCTGTTCCGAGGTGGTGCTCTATGCCACTGCACCACTAGAGCTTATATAGATCCTCCCCACAGGTACTATATATATCCATCACTGCTGGACTTGGGCAAAGTGGT